TTATTAATTCTTCCTGGTCACCCCGACTGTGATGATCATCTATTATGAACTTCACCTCTATTCAAGAGACCCATCAAGACATGCAATGCATTTTATTGTGCGTATATTATGGATCCATGGATCATTGTCTTACCCATTTCAAGTTTTGAGTATTTGTCGTATACTAGTAGCAACCTACTGCCTGTTAGTACACAAGTAGCAACCTACTACCTGACAGGTACAGTGGGAGGTCGATCGATATGAGTTTCCATACCTGCTGGAATGCCGAAACTGATAGAGTTGATTCAGTAGTGGAAGATGATGGGGAGTGTTGGAATCAAAATGAATGATGACATAGGTCACTACTTCCAGACACATAAGGGCCTGAGACAAGGAGATCCAATGTCACCTATTCTGTTCAACATTGTAGTTGACATGTTGACAATTCTAATAGGAAGGGCAAAGGATGCTTGTCAAGTATGTGGCCTGGTACCTCATCTAGTTGATGGAGGGGTGTCTATCCTACAGTACGCTGACGATACTATTATCTTCATGGAGCATGACTTGGCAAAAGCGAGAAACATGAAGCTGGTGTTATGCTTATTCGAACAATTGGCCGGGTTAAAGATTAACTTCCACAAAAGCAAATTGTTCTGCTTCGGAAGAGCCAAAGAGGAACAAGAGGCGTACAGACAATTGTTCCGGTGTGAACTGGGGGCTTTACCTTTCACGTATTTGGGTATACCAATTCACTATCGTAAGCTAACAAATAGAGAATGAAAGTGTATTGAGGATCGATTTGAAAAGAAACTGAGTTGCTGGAAGGGCAAGCTGATGTCATATGGGGGCCGATTAATTCCCATTAATTCGGTACTCACGAGCATGCCTATGTTTCTCTTGTCTTTTTTCAAGGTACTAGTTGGAGTTCGGAAAACACTGGATTTCTATCGATCCCGCTTCTTCTGGCAGAGTGATGACCTGAAAAGAAAGTATAGACTTGCTAAATGGGATATTATTTGTCGACCGAAAGACCAAAGGGGTCTAGGTATCCAAAATCTTGAGGTTAAGAATAGATGTCTTCTCAGCAAGTGGCTCTATAAGCTATCTGTAGAGTCGGAGGCCACGTGGGCGCAGATTCTACGTAATAAGTACCTTCATTTGAAAACTTTGTGCCAGGTGACAGTGAGGCCGACGGACTCGCCTTTTTGGAAAGGACTGATGAGAGTTAAATCAGTCTTTTTCAACAGGACAAAGTTTATAGACGGAAGCGGTACCTCTACGAGATTCTGGGAGGATACATGGCTAGGGGAAACACCCATCGCGCTTCAATATCCTTCACTTTATAGCATTGTTCAACGAAGAGACGCTTTCGTTGCAACTGTGCTTCAGTCCACTCCTCTCAATATTCAGTTCAGGAGAACACTTGCCGGTGCCCGTTGGGAAGCCTGGCTCCATCTGGTGAGAAGACTGATGGATGTGCAGCTTTCTCAACTTCCAGACCAGTTGTGCTGGAAGCTAACCAGGAATGAAGAGTTTACAATTAAATCCATGTATCTGGATGTTATCAGCTCTAGCTTTATTCCTAGTTCGAAACATGTTTGGCAAGTCAAAGTACCTTTGAGAGTTAAAGTGTTTATGTGGTTTGTACAAAAACAAGTCATTTTAACTAAGGACAACTTGACAAAAGCAACTGGATTGGTTCTGCAAGATGTAGTTTTTGTGACCGGGATGAGACCATCAAACACCTCTTTTTTGACTATCCGATGGCGAAAATTTTATGGCAGACTGTTCATATTGCTTTTAATATTACTCCTCGGAATGATATCAACACGTTATTTGGGACGTGGCTTGATGGGATAGATTCCGAAACAGCGAGACACATTCGTGTAGGAGTATGTGCTTTGCTATGGGCGGTCTGTAACTGCAGGAATGATTTGGTTTTTAATAGAACAACAAATACTCATTTTTTGCAGGTTATCTTCCGAGCCACTACGTTGATCCGTATGTGGTCGCTACTCACTCAGACGGAGGCCAGAGAGCGTTTGGTTACTGGATCTATCCGATGGGAAATGGTAGCTCCGGCTATATTCAACCGGTTTGGATGGCGGTCACGTAATAGGATAGACAATTAGTTTTCCTATCTTTCTTTTGCCAGCCGGTTGTGGCTTTACTTTTACCTTTCTATTCTTTGTGAGCTTTTTTGCTTCGTTCATTTTGAGACTTCAGAACTTATGCTGAACTTATTTGCATTTTAATAAATGTGGTTGTATGCATCGTTCTGATGCAGAGGTCGGGGATCTCCCCCTTTTCTAAAAAAACAAAGTTCGTGTCTTTCTTTACAGGGGATTAGATCGCCAGCAACTATGTTCATGGTTGTCATCAATGGCAACCTAACATCACTTAGCGACAAACAATACAGAAATGAAGAGATCGGCCGGTGTAAATCCAGCCAATTATATCGGAGAAACATGCCATATTGAACAATATCAAACAGAGATGAACAAGGGGACAATCAAACAGACGATAAGCTGCAATATGGGTCACCCAAAAACCAAAATGGAGCCCCGAATAAATGAAGCTCTTTAGAAATCAAAAACATTCTGATTGTTTTTACATCTATCTCCAAATGACTAGCTTGTAAGCAGGAATTTGTATTAATGTATCTTCAATTTTTTTTATGTGCACAAAATAGACAAATACCTGCTCGAAATATAGAGTAACATTCTTCTTTCTTTAGGGATACCTGTGTTTTTCTTGTGTAGCATGCAAATTAGTATATTCTTTGATAAGCTATTACAGCTATGTGGAAGACATATATATTTATATATGGAAGTTTGTTGGATTTTTTAAGCTTTAAGGTATGATTTAAAAAAAAGTAAAGGACTCCATGTAGCTGGGGAGTCAAATTACTGCTTCTGCAGGTCCCCGTGTATCAGAAATACAAATGAGCATCAGAATTCAGAAACACAGGGCCCCTCCTCTCCTACCCAGACCACCATATTGATGTAGCTTCGATAGTTTTGCTTATTTGTGAGTAAAACACAGTTTTGCTTTTATGAGAGACTAATAATTAATTTTTGGACACATATTTATCTACTCATGGCCAACATGATATTTGATTTTCCATTGTTAGATTGGGACATAATGCAAGGTTTTCCCTATGGAATTTGAATATGTGGGAATTGTTGCCGCAAATCATCTATGAAGCTACATTGGCTGGATTTGGGAAACATAAAATTGCATAGTGGACCGATGACAAGTGAACATGAACAATCTCGGTAATATTGTACACTAAGTACTACTCACGCCGTTGTTAATTAAGTACCTGACAAAGCTCAGAGTTGCCCGGGAAAGCTATCTCATTTCTAGACTCTAAATCTCGGTAATATTTTATCATTTACAGGTTGTCAGAATTTTTGAAGAAAATTATAACTCCGTCACGACCACCTCCTCTCAAGTATGTCGGCAGAAGTGAGAAAGTTTGGACTATATCTCGTACGTGTAGATGCGTTTCAGCAGGGATTCATTGTCCTACTGGTTACACTTACACGTCATCTTTAGCTAGCTGGCTGCTGCATGAGAGACTGTGTGTGTGTGTGTGTGTGTGTGTGTGTGTGTGTGTGTGTGTGTGTCACGAGCCAATTGCATGGATGCAGCGTAGCTAGTCCGTGTGGATCCTGCCACGCGCGTGATCCCCGGTGGATGTGCGAGCCCGGCCAGTCGTCGTGAGCCTGCGCTCGGCTTGGACCAAGTGTAGCGGTGCTCGGGTATGGCGTTTTCAGACTGCGGAGCTGAGCCATGGCTTAGTAGTGTGGATGAATCAGGCGGGTTGCATGAGACGGCTCACCGTACAAGAGCGCGTCAGTCGCCTCGGCGTGCTTCATGAGTGATTTCCCTGTGGACTCGGAGACTTGGCGTTTTCTTCTAGCAGACAGCTTCGCTGAACTTGCCATGAGGACCGAGCACAGGTCTTTTGCTCCATGATGATGTCTGGAAACGAAGAAGTTCTTCTGCGGGTCACTGAATGAATGAATTAGTAGAATTGCTTGCTAGTGAGAAGGGTGATTTAGTACTACAAAAAACTCAACCGTGGAGGTCAATACGTGTGTACTCCCCCCTCCCATGATATGAGAACGTTTTTGACACCGAGACAAAGGGAGTAGCTGTGTAATGGTAGACTCGTTTCAGCTGGGAATTAACTAGCCAATACGTGTGAATCCAGCCCCTCATAATCAGGTGTGCAGTGTGCTAGCTCGGTCGGTCGTCGCGCCGTACATAAGTGGATCAGACAAGCAGGGGAAGCATTTATACAGCTTGGACGAAGTGTATAGTGGTGCCCGGGGACGGTGGTCAGACAGGAGAGATAGTTTCAAGGTGCGGTCGGCCTGGTCCAATGGAGCGACCTACACCATGTAGAGAGCACAGCTCGCCGGCAAGAGCGGCAGCTGTAGCTTCGGCGTCCCTCGTGAGTGATTTCCCATTGGACATGGACGGAGACGTACTCTCTTGCGCGTTTTCTAGCAGACTGCTTTGGGTGCACATGCCAAAGCTTTTCAGACTATGATTCATTGCTAAGGAACCACTTGGGGAAGCTTCATTCAAAGTCTTCCGCTCATAGACTTTGAATTGCATGTAGAGGGTGTTTGTTTTCAGGGACTTATTGATTTAGGGACTTAAAAAAGTCCCTATAAGTCCCATTTAAATTAAACAGGAGGGACTTATAGGGACTTAAAGTGGCGATTTGGGACTTATCAAAAAAGACTCTCAGGGAAGAACTTATAGGGACTTATAGTGATGATTTGGGTCTTTTAGCATGTCATTTAATAACCTCTAGCCCATAATAAGTCCCTGTAAACAAACAGGTAGGGACTTGAGACTTATAAGTTGGGACTTAAAAAAGTCATAGGACTTATGAATCAAATAGGGCCGTAGTCGGTTGCCTCGGAAGTGAGACCTACTTTCATTCTACATATATATGCGTTCTCTCCTCTCCAATTCATTCAATCACGCACTTCTTCTCCATGCCTCCCCTCCACATACTAGTACTCGGGCTTCTCCTCTTGCACACTCCTCCTTGGTGCTTCACTGCTGCTGCAGATGAAGACACACTCTTAGCAGGCCAATCGCTCACCGCTGGCGACAAGCTCGTCTCGAGAAACGACAAGCTCGCGGTCGGCTTCTTCCAGCCAGCAGCGAGCAGAATCGGTAAGTCATCCAACAATGCCACCTCCCCCAGCTCCAGCTGGTACCTTGGCATGTGGTTCAATAAGATCCCGGATTTCACTCTTGTGTGGGTTGCCAATAGGGAGGAGCCCATCACCCACCCCAACCTCAACTTAACACAGCTCAAGATCTCAAGCGACGGTAATCTTGTCATTGTCGTAAACCATGCTGATACCTTCACCGAATCCGTTGTTTGGTCCACTCACATTGTCAATAGGACAAAAACCACAAACACTAGTGCCCTTGTTCTCTTGAACAATGGGAACCTTGCCCTCACATCTGAAAAGAAGAGGTTCTGGTAGAGCTTCGAATACCTAACAGATGTTGTGCTTCCTGGCGCCAAGTTTGGTAGGAACAAGATCACTGGTTTCATCCACCAGCTCATCTCAAAGAAGAGCCTCATTGATCTGGGTCTAGGATCATACAACCTTGACCAAGAAGACACCGGTGGGTTCATTCTCGAGCGCCGCAACAAACCGCTTGTGGTGTATTGGCGTTATAAATCCTCCACAACTTCATCTTTGAATCTTTTACCATTACTCACGTCACTCCTAGATTCAAAACCTCAGACCAAAGGATTATTTAACATATCATTTGATGATAACATCCAGGAGGAGTATTATATGTACACTTTACGGGATGAATCATCGTCTTCTGCATTTGTCTCACTAGACATCTCTGGTCAGATAAAGTTGAATCTCGGGTCACAAGCTAGCCAGTCTTGGAAAACCATATATGCCCAACCTGATGATCCTTGTGATCCGCCTGCAACATGTGGACCTTTCACGGTCTGTATGAGAAAGCCGCATCCATCATGTGACTGCATGGACAACTTCTCTCATAAGTCACCGCACGATCGAGATTTTGATGATTGAACAGGAGGATGCATTAGAAATACACCGTTACATTGTGCTAGTGAGAAAAACATGGCAAGTTCAATGGACATATTCCACCCCATTTCTCAAGTTCAATTTCCCTACAGCCCGCAAAGCATAGTCAATGCTACAAATAAGATCCGATGTGAAGGAGCTTGTCTTAGTTCTTGTTCTTGCATTGTTTATTCCTATAACAATAGAAGATGCACTGTATGGAATGGTGAATTACATAATGTAATTTTGACTGATGAAGTTTACAGTATTGGAGAACACGTTCTTTACCTTCGCCTTGCCGCCAAAGATTCACTGCCAAGTTCAAGAGAAGGCAAAAGAAAACCAAATGTTGGAATTGTTATTGTTGCAAGCATTATTGGGTTTGGATTACTAGTCATGATGTTGTTGTTACTGCTTTGGTGGAAAAATTGAAGTTGTGTAGTTTGCTTCCAATATGCTACGACCGTCAAGGAAATGTTGGTGGGATTATGGCCTTCAGATGCGCTGAGTTAGTTTGTGCTACTAAATCCTTCTCTGAGAAGCTGGGTGGAGGTGGATTTGGTTCTGTATACAAGGGAATGTTAAGTGACTCAAAGGCTAGTATAGCAGTGAAAAGGCTTGATGCCACCCATCAAGGAGAGAAGCAATTCAGGGCTGAGGTGAGATCAATTGGGCTGATCCAACATATCAACCTGGTCCAACTTATTGGTTTTTGTTGTGAAGGTGATCATAGATTACTTGTGTATGCACACATGGTAAATGGGTCTCTTGATCGTCATCTATTTAAGGTCAGCGATACTGACGATGTTGCTGCCCTAAATTTGAACACTAGATACCAAATAACCTTAGGAGTTGCTAGAGGATTGTCCTACTTGCATCAAAGTTGTCGCGAGTGCATCATACACTGTGATATTAAACCAGAGAACATACTGCTAGACGGATCATTTCTTCCTAAAGTTGCAGACTTTGGGCTAGCGGCGTGTGTGGGAAGGGATTTTAGCCGAATCCTGACAAGTTTCAGAGGAACGATGAGTTATCTTGCCCCAGAGTGGCTTAGCGGAGTTGCTATCACGCCAAAAGTTGATGTTTACGCCTTCGGCATGGTGTTGTTGGAAATCATGTTAGGAGGAGGAATTCCACACGTGAAAGTTCATACAACACCACCAACAATAGTAACTACCAGCATGTTAAATATTTCCCTGTACAAGCCATCAGCAAGCTTCATAGCGGTGATGTGCATAGTTTGGTGGATCCACGGCTAAATGGTGAATTCAGTTTGGAAGAGGCTCAAAGGGTTTGCAAAGTTGCTTCTTGGTGCGTCCAAGACCATGAGTTTGACCGGCCGACGATGGGTGAAGTGGTCCGAGTTCTTGAGGGTCTACAAGCGATTGATGTGCCCTTGAATCTGGTACCAGTTCTATTCGTGACACTGGCTCGCATGCAGCAATTAACCAAGTTCTCGACTCGTCGGCGGATGCGGCCTCAAAGATTCACTGCCTGGGAATAGGCTTCAAGGTCCAGATGAGTCGGCATGGGAGCTGGAATCAGGTAAGAGCGACGATGCACCGTGATTTCTCTTTGGACTTGGAGACTTGGGCGTCTTCCAGCTTGGGCATGGAAAACGGCAAACGGTACCTACGCGGCATGCATCAAGGACAAGTTGTGTAGCAGACTGCTGCTTCGTATTTAGCTGCATGGTGATGCCGGCCGGGGAATGAATCTAGCGTAGCTGAAACAAAATGAATCTTGCGTTTTTTTTATAGAAAAGGAGGATGACCCCCGGCCTCTGCATCTTGGGAGATGCATATGGTCACTTTATTGATTATTCTCGAGGACCGTACAAAGTATTACAACAATGTGCCTGAATCCACCATCTTGGCAACATATGCCGCTATTCTTATCCAATATGATGAAGGGGTGCTAGCTGGGCCACTACCCAAACCACTCACCTAAGCTTAACATCAAAAGCCGGAAGCCGAAACTCATTCGGAAGCCCCAGCCGAGCCACATACCGGGTTTGGGGCACAATCCGGTCAGACGCACTCGTGTGTCGTCGCCGCCATCTTACACGGGTCTTCAGATCATATTGAGGCTTCTACCTTGTCTGGCCACTCTGCCATTGACGTCACCATGACGCCAGACATCAACCTCCTCCTGCGCGAGCCCGCCTCCGCACATCGGACGTTGAGTCTCCACAACGCCATGCCATCGATCTTCGCCGCCATCAATGTGTGAGATGAAGCACCGCTCCACCATCCCTCCAGCCAGCACTTGCTCCAAAACGATGCCCCCAGAAAGGAAAGCGATAGAACGCCATCATCATCCGATCCGGAAGACCCAGATCTGGGGTTTCCCCCTGAGCACCCCGAGCCTGATGGCGCTGACTGCCGACGATGCCTTGACCATCGGCAGTAGCTCCACCAGACGAGTGTCGCCTACGTCGCCGCAGCCTCCAAGATGAAGCTGGCCAGAATGCATGTGTCGACACCGAACTGCCACCACTTCCACCGCCGCTTGAGCAGCCCCCGAGCAACGCCTTCAGAAAGGAGCACGCCACCGTGGTGTCGTCGTCGCTTGGAACAGGGGGGGTCCGAGGTTTTCACCTGAGCTCCTGGGAGGGGTGGAAGGAAGGAGGTCCTCTCCTAAGCCTCCATCGAGGGAAGCAACACCCAAAGGCACTGCCATCGGAGTGGCCGCCACACCGGCCAAGAGATTTCCCCGGAACCCTTCTAGCCACCGGATCTGCAAGGCCAGCACCCAGAACGGTGACCGAAGCCACCAAGAGCCGGATTCGCTGCAGATCGGAGTAGACCGGGGTCGAGGACGAACATCACCATGGCCACCAACATCCAGAATGATGCATACGGCCACATTTATAAATAAAATAGGTTCAACAAGGTCTCAAAGTCTTGAAATGTAGATAAAGGCTAGCTCACATAGAGCCTCAACGCCAAAGACAAAAATGCCACAGAGCCACAACCGGCTGGCAAAACAAAGATAGGAAAACTAATCGCCTATCCTATTACATGACCGTCATCCAAACCGGTTGAAGATATCCCGCGCTACCATCTCCCACCGGACAGATCCAGTAACCAAACGCTCCCTGGCCTCCGTCGGAGTGAGTAAGGACCACATACAGACCAACGCCGTAGCTCGGAATAAAACCTACAAAAAATGAATAGTTGTTGGTCTGTTAAAAGCCAAATCATTCCTGCAGTTTCAAATTGCCCATAACAACGCACATACTCCTACACGAATGTGTCTAGCTGTATTGGACTCTATCCCAACAAGCCACGTTCCAAATAACGTACTGACCGAATTCGGAGGAGTAATGTTAAAGGCAATTTGCACAGTGCGCCACAAAACTCTCGCCAACGGGCACTCACAAAAGAGGTGCTTAATGGTCTCGTCCCAATCACAGAAACTACACCTAGTAGATCCTGTCCAATTGCCCTTAACCAAGTTGTCCTTTGTTAAAATGACTTGTTTATGTACAAACCACATAAACACTTTAATCTTCAAAGGAACTTTTACTTTCCAAACATGTTTTAAACTAGGAATGACACTAGAGTTAATTACATCGATATACATCGACTTAACTGTAAATGCTCCAGACCTAGTAAGTTTCCAACACAACTGATCGGGCTGATGAGCTAACTGAACCTCCATCAGTCTAGTCACCAAATGAAGCCATGCTTCCCACCTATCACCAACAAGCACCCTCCGAAACTGGATATTAATTGGAATGGACTGCATGATCATTGCAACTAGCGCATCACGTCGTTGAACAATACGACACAGGGACAGGTACTGGAACGCCAATGGCGTATCACCAAGCCAAGTATCCTCCCAGAAACGGGTATTGTTGCCATTACCGACAATAAACTCTGTTCTATTAAAGAAGGCTGCCTTAACTCTCATAAGCCCCTTCCCAAACCGCGAATCAGTTGGTCTCACTGTCACCTGTGACAAAGTCTTGGGCTGCAAATACTTGTTACGAAGAATCTGTGCCCATGTTGCGTCAGTCTCAACTGATAACTTATACAGCCACTTACTGAGAAGGCGTCTGTTCTTGACCTCAAAATTCTCAATACCCAGACCCCCTTGGTCCTTTGGTCGACAGATGACATCCCATTTGGCGAGTCGGTACTTTCTCTTTAGTTCATCACTCTGCCCAAAAAATCTTGATCGGTAAAAGTCCAGCCTTTTCCTAACCCCAACTGGATCTTCGAAGAAAGATAGTAGGAACATCGGCATACTCGTGAGCACCGAATTGATAAGAATCAACCGGCCTCCATAAGACATGAGTTTGCCCTTCCAGCAACTAAGTTTTTTCTCAAACCGATCTTCGATGCATTTCCACTCTCTGTTTGTTAGCTTACGATGGTGAATGGGTATACCTAGGTATGTAAAAGGTAAAGCCCCTAATTCAC